CTATAAAATACAATTCTTAAATTTTCTGTAAGTTATACTTTTTTTACTTACCTGCATTTCTTTTCTGAACGGCATCTACGCTCATTTGTGTATCTTTTTTTTATTTTATCTTGCGAGGTACATTGGGACGACTTGCTTGCTTAAGAACTTTTAAGTGGCCGCATCACAATCTGGGATCATCTGCTTGCTTGGAGTTTTTTTTAAGTGATAGCACCACAATCAGGTATAATCTCTGCAACTTGTAAAGTAAACTTTTAGTTTTATATCGAAACTACTACACATCACATACATCTTGTTAATAGGTATTCTAGCAATTTTATGTAGCTAGCCATAGGTTAGTGCACTACCAAAGCTTAGGCCAAAGCTTGTCCCCTTCTGTGAGCCCTAGAGATCATTAGTGTCATTTAGGCCTGTAGAGTAGGCCACCCATTTATGTCGTTGAGCATCGTTATTTTCCTACACGAAGTGGGCATCGCTAGGATTTTGGCCTTTTCTGGTTTTGGGTATGATACCCCTATCTTCTGTGAGCCCTAGAGACCATTAGGGTCATTTAGGCCTGTAGAGTAGGCCACCTATTGTGCCATGGACATCATTGTTTTCCCACACAAAGTGGACATCGCTAGGATGATTTTTCTATTATGATGTGATACAGATACCTTGCCTGGAGGGTATCTGGTGTGTTTATTTACTTTTTCTGTACTCTGGATGTCATGCACGCATTTGTTTTTTACACACCTTGCTTCACATTGTACCGCACTTACATGCATGCATTACATCAGTAAACCTAAGAATATTTCGTATCTATTTCATGCATCACACATAGCGCTAGGTACATTCTTTTGCATATTATAGAGTCCCTGATTGAAACATTTTGAACTATAAATTCTTGATTTCTTAGGATAGAGCATTCCTATCTTATATACATATAGGGCGATTGATATTGTTTAGGATGTTAGCTGGCAGCTCACTCCAAGCAAGCATAAGCCTAGATTGTACACCCCTCAGTGCGTCTTTTCACTTCTGGTGTGTTTTGAGTCTGTCATTTATCTTAGGGTAGTAATCCAATCTTTGATCTTCTAAACTTAAAATTTTAATCATATCTTAATCCATTCAAAAAGGTCTAATCATCATTAAAGATAAATAGAAGAGACTCTTTGAAATAGAACTCAGGAACTTTTTCTGTACACCAAATTAAGAAGTGAATAATACATCGTCCTTAATCGAGAGTTTTTTTAGGTCAAGTCATAGGATGTAATTAACTACGGGGGCTTGCGCCCATAGGAAACCGATCCCCACAATCAAATAAACCCCATTCGAGCTGACATATCGAATGGGGGAAATCTCGTGACTTTTGGGTTATATATATTATTATCCATCGAGATTGGTAGGTGAAAACCGCTACCCTCCATGACTAATCGTATGCATAACTCCATCTACTCTTCTATCGGCCTGCTTGTGTCGAGTGTAAAGGTCTACGATCGTTTTGTCCTACGAGATAGTGCGATCGTACTCTTTACATTCGAACCCCTTAAGCAGAATCCTTTTGGAGACCCACAATATTATCAATAGAATTCAAGTTGGATGGTTGAAGTAGAGGAATACATCAGGCTTGCTGTGTGATATAAAAGTGCCCCTCAAACTTAAGTGAAAATTCTATAAGATGGTGGTGAGGTCTGCAATGCTTTGTGGTGCCGAATGTTGGCCATTAAAAGTGAAGCATAATACTAAGTTTAGTGTGGCAGAGATGAGGATGCTCAGATGGATGAGTGGCTTTACCCTTAGAGATAGGATACGAAATGAGCACATACGTGAAAGGTTAGAGTAGCTCCAGTATAAGATAAGATTAGAGAGAGCCACATTAGATGGTTTGGTCACATAAAATGGCGGCCTTCCGATGACCCAATTAGGAAAGTAGATGTATTATATTTAACTTATGTTAAGAAATGTAGAGGCAGACCTAAAAAGGCTTGCTTAGAAAATATTAGAAATGATCTTTCTTTATTAGATTTAAATAAGAATTCGACTTTTAATAGGACACAATGGAGAAAAAGGATTCATGTAGCCGACCCCACATAGTGGGATAAAGGCTTGATGTTGTTGTTGTTGTCAATAGTCATTTTGATTTATACTATAGAAAACTGATTATTGATTATATTAAAAGTTATTAATAATAATTTTTAAGATGAGCATGCATATTGATTATTGAATCTTACATTGAAAGCTTTGTGAGTTTTGATTTCTGCTGGGCTTTGTAAGCTCTTTGTATGATTTCTTTGATTTTATGTTAAGGAAGGGGTCAAGACTCTATAGAGTGAGGTTGAATGAGATCTTCAAGTTTCTCCTTTTGTTAGCTTTTGTATTTTTTTTTTTTTTTTTTGTAGTTAGGAGCTTGAGATAGATTATTGAAGTAATGATCTATTTGTTTTTGTAGATATGATTTTGAGTAATGAATATAGTTTAATATTTTGATGCATATGATATATAGATTTGCTTTTGTTTGATATATTGATTTATATTGATGATTCATAGAAGTTCTCGTTGATAATTAAAAAGATAAAATATATAATTATTCTAATTTAAATTTTGGGATGTGACAAATTAAGTGTAAGGATGTTGGACGATCACTTACATTTCGACGGCCCCTTGTTTATGTCGATAAGGATTGTACGCTTGCTTAAGCCCAACTAGCCAAAAACATATGGATCAGGTAATAGAGGAGTAGACCTACAAAAGTGATTAATTCATACAATTTAGGCTCCATTTGGGACGGCTTTCTTGCTGCTTCTTAAAGCAGCTTTCTAGTTCAATAATTAAATTTTTTTACTAGAAAGCTACTTTAAGAAGCAACAAGAAAACCGTCCCAAACGAAGCCTTAATTTGCCTTTAGTTTAGATGGAAGAAAGATTCAAGAATTTTTTAAGAAGATTTAGGCTTCGTTTGGGACGGCTTTTTTATTGCTTTCTAAAATGAAGTTTTAGTACAATTTTTTTTTTTTTTGACTAAAACTCCGTTTTAGAAAGCAATAAAAAAGCCGTCCCAAACGAAGCCTTAATCGAGTAGTACCCGAACACATCAGAAGGGCTTGTAGCATTAACATATTTTTCCAACATTTTGTAATGTCAACATACACAAGGATAACATCAAAGGCATCAACCCTTCCAAAAACTAAAAAATAAAGTCCTTGTAATAGGATAATAATTCTATAAAATGATTTATAACACATATGTTAACCATGTAAACTATTGATATTAATTTATTTTGTAAAATACATTTATAAACACGTGTACAGCATATAATATGAGTATTAAGACTTGCATTTTCTTGTGTACCATACTAAAATTTATTTAATTAATAAAATAACAAATGTAATGTACCTAGGTAGGTACAATAAAATAAGAGACTCAACATATGTAAAATATTAAAAAAATTATGCAAATAATAATTGCATATAATAAAAAAAATGTCTTAAGACTCATACAAAATATGTATAACAATGAAATCCAATTATTTTGTGGAATAGCAATTGTAATAAGTACATATAACATATAAATTTTTTTTTTTTTTTTTTTTTTTTTTTTTTTGAGATCTATATACAATTGTGCAAAATACTAACATTTAAATTTCGTTTGGGATAACTTTTTTATTACTTTCAAAAATAATTTTTTTAGTACAAAATTTTTAGTTCAATAAATTTTTGTACTAAAAACTATTTTAGAAAGGAAAAAAAAGCTGTCACAAATGAAGTCTAAATTAATTAATTAAAATAACTCACATATATATGTAATTAGTTTTATATCTTGTATAAATATGAATGCCACTATGAAATTTAATTATTTTGTGAAAATATAGTTATGCATGGATGTCATAATATGAGTTTTAAGACTTGCGTCTAAGAAAGTTTTCTTATATTATTATTTTTTTAAGTCACGATTATTGATACGGCATCACAAAATTAGCTTGATCGGGCACGAATCTCGAGGCGAAAGCTAGTTGGAAACTTCAAAAATTAATTCCGAGAGCACCCCAACTCCGATTTCAGCAAGCTTATAGTCGAACTGACGCAACAATTATAGTTTTTATTTGATCATTGTTTTTTCATTACTTTCAAAAAAATGTTGTATTAGAAAGTTGCTTTCTTCATCAACTTTAAATAAAGTTACTTTCTCCCCAAGATCTTAACAATCACTTTTATAAAAAACAGGAGCTGCCTCAAAGGGATCCAAAATTAACTTCTTTATGAATATTAAGATTTATACAATAGATTATTATAAATTTCACCTTTAATTAAATTTATCATTACTTATTTAGGCTTAGACTTCGTTTAAGACAGCTTTCGTACTGTTTGCTAAAATAATTTTTGAGTACAAAATTTTTTAAAATGAAAAAAATTTGTACTAAAAATTTACTTTATAAAGTTGTAGGAAAGTTGTCCCAAACAAAACTCTTAATATGAACTTAAATTCAATTGCGATTGATTTATTAGTTAGCGGGTAAATTTTTGGGCTAATATTTGAAAAGTATTAAGGGTCCGTTTCAGATGGTTACAATATTTTATAAAGTTGATTGTAAAACTGTAATTGAGAAAGATTCTTTTTGAAAGCTGATGTAGAAAATAGTTTTCTTGCACAAAAAATTATTAAAAGCATTGAAAAAATAATAATCATATGAAAACTATGATTGTAATATGAAAATCAAAGTAATAAAAAAAATTATCTCAAATGAAGTATTAATCTGATTAGTTAATGTGTAGTTCTTGCACCTAATAAATTTTTAAAAATTAATAAAATATTTATATTAAAATTTAATTTAGATGAGTATCAAATATATTAAAATTATTTTAAAATAAATTTAATTATGAATAATTAATTAAAATTTATATTATATTAACATAAGAAGATAAATTAATAAATTTTAAATTTTGTCAAGAAGAGAATTGATCAAAATATTCTGAAACAGTTCTTCACCAAATAATTTGCTTTGGAATTGATTTTTTCCTTTCCGCCGTTAAAAAGGTGAGATTTATCGCGCATAGGTGGCGGCAAAAGGGGAGCACTATTCTCTCGTTGATATTGTTCAAATAGAGCCCTTTTTTATCAGAGAATTAGGGTTTCTTTTGTTTTTCGGGGAGGAAATTAGGGTTTCTTCTCTGTGGTTTTTTTCCTTGATTACTTCGAAGTTCGAACATATTACGTTCTTCTCTTTGCAGAAACCAAATATTGTTGTTTTCGCTAGGGATTTTGCCTTGCCTCGCCAATGTCCTGGGAGTCGACTGCGTCCTACGTATCGGCTCGGAGCCTCGATCTCAACTCCGTAGCTGTGGTTCACCAAGCAGAACTCGAGGGTTCCGGCGGTACCGGCAAATCTGATGGGGATTCCGCTGCTAGGGATGATTTGAGCCGTGGAGATCGCGAAGAAGATAAGAACGTCAGCGAGGTTGATGAAAATGATGGAAATGGAAAAGGCATTCAACTGGGTGCGAAATTCGCGGGTTTCACGCAAGAGGATTGGAAGAAAGGCGAGGAAACTCCAAACCCGACCGCAACCACCTTGGATTCTAACACCGATTTGACGGGTAAAGCTGATACCTCCAAAGGGGATGATGCGGATAAAAGCGACGCAAACCATCTGCAAGGTGATACAATTCTGGTGAGTGAAGAATTATTCTCCAATGATAACGACTTTGATGTGTTTTTCAAGAAAGATGATTCTTTTGGAGAGGTAGATGATGCTCCTAAATCTGAACAAGCGGGGGAGACTCTAGATGTTGAGTTGTTGAATTATGTCGATAACAAGCAGTTACAAAGTGAGGAACTGGGAGGCAAATCTGAATTTTCTGTTTGTGATATGGTGTGGGGCAAAGTGAGGAGCCATCCTTGGTGGCCTGGACAGATCTATGATCCTTCATTTGCATCGGATATGGCACTGAAGCATCAGAAGAAAGATCACTTCTTAGTAGCATATTATGGGGACAAAACTTTTGCTTGGAATGACAAGTCCCGATTGAAGCCTTTTGAATCATTCTTCTCTCAGATGGAGAAGCAGAGTAGCTTGGATGAATTTGTAAATGCTGTTGATGTTGCATTGGAAGAAGTGGCAAGGCGCATTGAGATTGGAATGACTTGTGGTTGTGTTGCAGATGAGTTTATTGCTGGTTTGAATCACCAAATGATTGAGAATGCTGGTATTAAAGAAGGTACATGCTGCCCTACATTGGATCGATGTGCAGTTGCGAGTTCATTTGATCCCGGTAGGCTGCTTGATTATATTCATGAACTAGCTCGGTTACCTTGTGGACATTTTGATAAATTGGAGCTTGTTAAAGTAACTGCTCAGGTGAAGGCCATCTATATGTCAAAGGGTTATTCTGAACTACCAGAATTCTGTTTTGGTGGAGGGTTATCACACAGTGAAGACGGTTCAGGCCATGAAAGGGAAGAAGCAGGACAAGATGATACAGAATTTAAGAAGAATGGAATTCTTTCAAGCTACACGTCCTCAAAGGAAAAGAGAAGAGGAAGGGGCAGGCCACCTGGTAAAAAGAATGACATTGAAGAGGATAGCAGAAAGATAGAAAATAAAATGGATGAAACACTTTCAAATGACTCATCTTCAAAGGAGAAGAGAAGAGGCAGGGGCAGACCACCTGGTAAAAAGAAGGCCATTGAAGAGGATGGCAGAAAACAAAGGAGCTTGCCGGAGCTGATGAGAGAAACGGCTGATCCTACTGCTTTGAATGGTACAAACGTGAAAAATGGTGCAAAAGCTTCTTCGAAATCTTCCATCAAGAAACGCAAGATTAGTGATTCTGATTCAGTTGACCGTGGGAAACGTAAGAAAAGGAGGCTCAACTCTTTGGGTGATATTGGGAGCTTGTCAGATTCTTCATCTGATGTGAAGGCTTTGAAAATTGGACAACGCATTAGCCGAGTTGCCAAAGAAATGAAATTTTCATGCTCAGAGCACAGCAACATAAAACTCCAAAAGGGCAAGTCTAAGACAAATGAAAGAACAAGTTCTGTTCATGGTGATAGTAAGTCTCCAAAAAAAGATGCATCTTTTATGCAGGACTATCCGACACCAAGTGAGATGCTGTCCCAGCTTTGCTTTGCCGCAAAAAGTCCCACAAAAGCGCACAGATTCCAATCTAGCGCTGTTGGTTTCTTTGTGAATTGGAGGGATTCACATGCGCCTGACTCTCTTGATGATGATAAGCTGCTAAACCTAGCGGAGAGTAGAAGGGGTCGGAAAAAACTAGCTGAGTCTGGGCTAGTCTCTGTGGAGGTAAAGTCTGATTATTTACAAGATTCTTATTGGTCTGATGTCATATTTGAAGAGAACCCAAAGAAAGAAGTTCCATCTAGGGGCAGGAAGAGGAAAGCAAGCTCTGAGTTGAATCAAACGAAGAAAAGTAAACCTGCAGGGATATCATCAGTTTCTAGCCCCTTGGAAATCACTTTGAACGCTTCTGAGCATTTGCTTGATGGTTCTGCTATTCTTATTGATGAGCAGCAACAGGAAGAAAGACTATTAAACTTGTCTGATGATAAAACTGTGGAAGAGTGCAATCCTGCTGCATTAATTCTGAGCTTTAATGATCCAAATAGTCTCCCTTCCGAGTCAGATCTCATAAAGATTTTTAGCCAGTATGGTCCTCTCAAAGAAGCAGATACCGAAGTTTCAAAAAAGAGCAGACGTGCTTCGGTTATGTTCGAAAGAGGCGTTGATGCTGAAGTGGCTTTTAGCAGTTCAGGAAAATTCAGTGCTTTTGGGCCGAATCTTATCAGCTACAGGCTTAGGTACTTAACATCATCTTCTCCAGGTTCCACACCAATGATGGATCCTTCTCCAACAAAAGAGGGAGCCTCCATACTTCCAGGTATGTAGCCTTTATCTCTCATTATTGAAGGTGATGAAGGAACTGGAGCTTTCTTATACTTACATTTTTGTTCAAATGCCAGAAGATTCTGGGGTGGTGCCAACTGATGAGAAAGCTTAACTGGTTCATTGGGGGTATATTGGTGGTAGCGATAGTTAGATGCTTCACCCACTGATTGTAGCTGTAATGTTCAGAACTTTCGGGTACTTCCCTTACACCTTAGTGTTCAGAAATTATGTTCTGGCTATTTGAATTCTAATGGTTTTTGTTTCAGTTCAAAAAGATTCTATGGCACTGTCAACAGGACGTAGCTCCGGGCAACTGATCTCCTTCTAGAAGTTACAATGCTGCTTCCGTAGGTTAGCTTATAGAGACGTCTTACAAAAATTTCTTCTAGTCTTTCTTAACCCATGTTAAAGTTATTTCTCTTGCTGTAGAGTAGTCCCAATGCTTTGATGTAAAGAAATTGCAGTTTTTATAATAGAAAAGATCATTGGACTCTTTGACTGAATTCCCTCAATTTGTTTTAGTATTTGGTGGAATTGCTCTATTAATGTCAAAGTTTTGTGCTTTTTGCTGTTTATATCAGTAAGTTGGTCATGCATGTTTGGTGGAATATGATTTTTGTGATTCATCCTTTTGAAGCAAAATATTTCAGAGTTATAATTTTCTGTTGTGAAAATTGCTGATTCCAATCCTAAATCTGAATGAGATGGATTGAAGATTTTTGTTAATTGACTGTCAAAGGTAATATTGATGTCCAAATTTTTGGAATGAATCCAAAGTTTCTTCTCTCTTGATAGCTACATCTTGATAGCAACTTAGGTTTTATTTGGGACAACTTTTTTATTGCTTTTTAAAACAGCTTTTTAATACAAAAAAATTTAATTTTTGTATGAAAAAGCTAAAATTTTTGTATTAAAAGCTGCTTTAAGAAACAGTAAAAAAATCGTCTTAAACGAAGCCTTAATTGAGAGTGTGTTGGAGAGTGATTTTTTTTTGCCAAGCCTAAATTTGAATGAAAAGGGTTGAAGATTCATGTTACTAAAATTGGTTTCCAAATTTATGAAATGATTTCGAATAGGGCTGCAAACGAACTGAACCAAGCCGAGTATGTAAGTGTTCATGTTTGAGTTCATTTATTATTAGCTTGTTCAACTTCGTGTTTGATTCGAGTCTTATTGTTTGTGTTCATGTTTGGTTCGGTTAAATTAATGGTGTTCATGTTCGGTTTCTTTAGTGCTTATCGAGCTTTAAACAAACAAGCCTTAACAAGTTATGTTCGTGAACATATTTAGCGGATTTTTTTACACTATCAAACAAGCACGTTCATAAACAATTATAATGAGTATTCTTGAGCTATCAAATGAGCAAGATCATGAATAAATACATAACTAGTATTGTTCGAGCTACCCAATGAACTCGTTCAAGAACAAACGATCTATGATTCATCTTATATTTGTTCATGCACATCTTAAACAAACAATCTAGCAAATATTGACAAATGTGAAATGTTTCTTGTTCATGATCAAATTCATTCTATTGAATGTATAAAATAAAATGAAATTAAATTTATAATAAAAGCAATTGTCTATTTAAAATGGAAATATGATTATTCTATATGAATATATTTATCAAACTTATTCACGAGTTCTAAATCACGAATCGAGTTTTTATCGAGCTTGTTCACGAGCTTCAAATGATGTTGTTTGTGAACATAAATGAACCGAACACATTAGTGTTTAAGCTTGTTTATTTAAGAATCGAGTATTAAAAATGTTGTTCAAGTTTGTTTGTTTGATTAGTTAAACGATCACAAATGAGCTTTAATCGAACCGAGCAACAAGTAGCTCTAATTTCGAAGTTCAAGGTAGAGGATCAAGTAAATACTCATATTACATCAATTTAATTTATAATTTTTTTTAGTGCATCGATTCAACATCAATGAAGGAAAGGGAAGGTGTATTTGGATATCTGAGAGTAGGGAGGGAGCTTAAGATAGTGAACCGTTGTCATAGTATTTGGCAATTCCGTTTCTGCGTCATTATTGAAAATGCTAACCTCGTTGGCTGCCTCAGATTTTGGTGAGCTGCTTTTTGACTTGTGAGATTGGGGAAATTGTTCTTGGTACACTTAGTCGACAATATTTTTCTCCTTCAAGCTCCTATTTTTTGTGGTTGATTTGTCTATATTCCGCATCTCATATGCTTGACTCTCTCATCATTGGCAATAATGTTCGATCTCCTGGGGCCAACTGGACCTGAATAGCACTTATTTTGGATTAGCATAATTATCATGTGCAAGTGGCCTATGACTCAAGTCTATGATGCACAGATAAGGACACGGCGACATGGATATGACACGACACGGACACGGGACACGTCAATTATTGAAAATATAGGACACGGGTTGGACACGGTATTATAATTTTTATATTTTAAAAATAGTGTATAAAAATTCAATAAGTATGATTTTAAAAATAATTTAAAAATAATAATTCATTTAACTAGAATTTGTGCTTAAAATGATTAGTATTAGGATGTCGAGAGTCATGCAGCGATGCCGTTTATCAGTCACAGAGAGAGGAGATGAAAATACCTTCACTGCCAAAGATAAATGAAAATGAGAATATTCGATGAAGGTGTATTAAGTGTGGACATTGATTTGATGTTGTGGATAGAAAATAAGAAATTCAATTTAAATCTCGCCAAATACAAGAAATTAAATTTTTAAAAAATTCATAAAATATTTAAGATATGTGTGATTGACACGCTTGTCTAATTTGTATTTAATATTTTTTTAATCGGACACATTTTCGGTTTGTCCGACACGTGTCGGAGGAGTGTCGGACTAGTGTCATGTCGGATACGGTGTGGACACTGCACGCCTCTTTGAGGAGAAATGTCGGTGCATCATAGGCTCAAGTGTATTTGATACCAGCTTCCTAAATTTTAGCTCTACCCCATCTAAGCCCGGGAAGAACGTTCTTCATCCTTCTTTGATTTTGATTCTTATTTAAATTTATTGTGAGTTTTCATCTTTCTTTTGGTTTTTTTTTTTACATTTAGATCAATTAAATTAAATTCATGCATATATCACATATACAAGACTCGAACCTAAGTTCTCTTAGTTAGAAAAAAAACTCCCATCTAACAGACCAAATTGAGTTGTGTTCTTTTGAGTTTATTTTTGCAAGGTGGCTATTTACTTTGTAAATCATTTTTGGATCTAAATATATTGAGCGAAGCAGAAATCAAGTATAACACTAGAACAAAAATGAGAGGTTGACGGGATGCTTACTAAAAGGTCCGTGAAAGTAGAGCTGTCAATATTAGAACTGACCCGAAAATTCGACTCGAACCCGACCCAAAAATTTAAAGTTTGGGTTGACCCGAACAAGAAGCAGGTCGGGTTCGGGTATGGAAAATTGATCAGTTTGCAAAACTGGGTCAGGTTCAGGTTGACCCGGAAACCCAAGAATGACCCAAGAATGACTTGGAAAACCCATCTGCCCCGGCTGCCCTGTGTTGCCTTCCTTGGCTGCCCTGGTTGCCCGCTACCCTGCGTTGCTTGCTCCGGCTACCCCCTGTCCCACGATGCCTGCCCTGGCTGCCCGCTGCCCCACGATGCCTGCCCCGGCTGCCCACGAGGCCACGAGACCACGTCAAATCCGACTCAAATTGCATCGTGCCGAGCTTCGAGACATCGAGCTGCGCGACGCGTGTCTCCCGCTGCCGTCCCCCGCCGACGACCGCTGCCTGCACCATCACGTGCAGTATTGCCTGGACGGCCGTACGCCTGCACCGAATCACCTGCACCTGTACCGATCGTCCCGGACGATCCAACTTCGTCCCGGACGAACCTGGAGCAAAAACTGATATTACACCCAAAGCGGGTCGGGTTCGGAAAATTGACCCGTTTGCAAAAACGGGTCGGGTTGCCCTGAACCCGAATAGTGCCGTGTCAGTTTCGGGTTCGACCCAAACCCGACCCGTGACCCGAAATTGACACCCCTACTTGAAAGGTCTAAATAAAAGAAGATATCTTTCCAATTTCAGTTATCTTGGGCGTTGTTGCAGCCAAGCCTCCTTTATATAGTTTCAGGGAATCACTCAAATCTGAAGAAAAGTTTTCACGCAACTCATTAATGTTAAATATATATTTAATTACATATTAGACAATAAATCAAAAAAATAAAAATAAAAACTCATCCAAGCTCAGGATCGAAGAACTGAGTATCATATATATAAAGCACCTGTAAGGAAGTTGAAGATACCTGCAGACTCTTGATAAAGAAGAGAAGAATCTATAGTTAATTTCATTTGAAATGCAAAGCTAAACCTGCTAAGTATAAGCTTATACAATGCTATAGAGACTGGCAAATCTAAGATTCGTTGATCCATAGCTTCCTTTGCTTGAGCTTCCCAAGAAGATTGAACATTTGCACTGCATCCCCTTTTGACGAGCCCAAGCAAAGTTTCTGAAAGCCCAATTAAAGTTTCTGGAAGATTTGATTGCCTGTAATTTTCTTCGCCCGTTGCTGACTGGTAAAAAGAGAGGCGTATGTAGTAGTTCTTGAATTTAATTCAAGAAAGGTTTTGAAGAAGCTACTTTCATTCAACTTGTGGAGATGATTCCTGTTTTTAACACAAGAGAGCCCTGCATCAGAAAAACCTTACTAGTTACTACTAAGCATGGATTGAAAGTAGGAGAGAAAGAAGAGAGAGAATAACTAAAGAACTTATTAAGGTTTTATTTGGGACAACTTCCGTACTGCTTTCTAAAATGACTTTTGAATTTTTTGTACTAAAAAGTTTTTTAAAAAACAAGAAGAAGACCTTCGCAAACGAAGCCAAAACTTGTAAGAAAATACAAGATTCTTGTGACATCGGCTTATTCGAATGTGTCGAGCTCATTCTACGATCTGATATTTATGAGTTTTGGCTAGAATTCAACACTGAAGGATTCTCTGCATTCAAGTAATACAAATAAAATTACATATCAAATTTTAATAATGATTGCTGTAGAAATATCGATATCTTCCTGGCTAATAATCATCAAAGTAGTCTGACTTTTCTAGAGTCACACATTGAAGGCAATTTCAAAGGGATGCATTCTCTTGGGTAGGGCTGCAAGCGAATCAAGCGTTCGATGAGCTACTTGATGCTCGGTTCGATTAAAGCTCTTTTGTGATTGTTTAACTAACTAAACAAACAAACTTGAACAACATTTTAAACACTCGATCCTTAAATAAACAAGCTTGAACACTAATGCGTTCGGTTCATTTATGTTTACGAACAACATCATTTGAAGTTCGTGAACAAGCTTGACATTAAGTTCGATAAAAAGCTCGATAAAAGCTTGAATGGAGAGAAATGCAATAGGTAAGCTTCATTTAATAATATATTCATATAGATTAATCATATTTTTATTTTAAATAGATAACTGCTTTTATTATAAATTTAATTTTCTAAACAAAAGACATTTCACATTTGTCTATGTTTGTTAGATTGTTTGTTT